AAAATATCCATTTCAATGCTAGTGTTGCCAAAATGCGAGACAAAGACTCATCTTGGTCTCGCAACAGTCTTGCAGTTACTTATTACTGAAGAGATATTACTGTAATTTTTCAGATAGGAGAAACCTAACTAAGCCCGAATGAAAAATTAGAGTAGTTAAACGCAAAAGTATATTGGTCATACCAATTATTTACATATAGTAACTAAGATAGTCAAGTATTAGTAACTATTTTGCCTTAATTTTTATTCAAAAAATCGATTTTTTTTGTCCTGGTCTTGTAGAATTAGGCTTCCTTGGTCTTGCAAAGTGCAATACCATGACCGATTTTGAGCAACACTAATTATTACAACATCTCTAGTTACCTGTATTGAGTTTTATATATAATTTTCTACTAAACTTTTTTTTTTTTTTTTTTTTGGTGTTATTGATCTGTAATGTTAACACCCTCAGATTCGTTCGAAAAGTTCTTTATGTGAGTGCGACCCCAATTTGTTCAGATCGAAATCTTTGCATGTACCCTGTACAGTAAAAAAATTGTGGTAAGGTTTAGAGGCTCTAACAGTATACAAATATTTGCTTATGAATATTCATCTTAAGGCAACACTGACTGCGGCTTGATAAGGGCCAACTGTGATCATTGTCATCAAAATCCTAGCAGAATTTTTTTTTTGCTCTGGGGGAGGGAATTTAATCTTATATCTTATTATTTTATAAGATTTGATAAGAAAGTCTATTGAATTTTAATTAATTGTTCGGATATTTAATGTGTATGTTATACCAGTATTTTTAGTCAATCTATGTTTTAATGCTTTGTTCCTGTGAGTCTTATTTAGTTTAAAGTTTCAATAAACGATCTATGTTAATGAAATTAGAAAAGTAAAAGTTACCGATAATATAAAATACAAAAATTGTACATACATAAAGGTATTATAAAGCTTAATAAACAGAACTATAAAAAATCATGACGTTCCTGAATATAGGTTTGGGCACAAACCAACTAATAAAATAGCGAATTTGATAAATAAAATGAAAGATAAAGTTGATGAAAGTCAAAATGGTGGATCAATATATAAAGTAATTAGTTTGGACTGTCCGAAAATGTATTATGATGAAAGTGGACAATACATTCAAGATAGAATATATCAACATGAAAATGATTACTAAAATTAAAAAAACCCAGTACACTATAAAAATAAAACTATATTGGTACAGCATGGTTTTGAAAAAGGACATACATTTGACTTTGTATATGAATAAATTATCTACAAGAAAAAAAATATTTAGAAGAAAACTGCTGGAAGCAATAACCATAACAGAAAATTTGTAAAATGCAATAAATTTCAAAGCGTATTCAGGAAACATAAACCGGAATTGTGCAGAACTTTTGAAAAAGCTAAATAAATAATGTTTTACCCTAAAACCGGTAAACAAAATAAAATAAAACACAATAAAGAGCGCTTTAATATTTTAGTGGAGCAGTCCAGGCTAGTTAGTAATAAGAACTATTTTTCGAAAAATAAATATTTTTTTTTATATGCCTGATATACTAAAATTTTGCTAAGAACATATTTTTAATAACATTATAATGTGTATAAAACTTTAAATTATATATTTATAGAAAATCTTTTTTTAAACAAAAATAGGAAGAAAAAATCTGAAGAAATTGTAGATAATAAGAAAACTTTATAAACAATTTTTTTTTTATGGATGGTTTATGACTATTGTTATTTGTTTTATTTTTTTGGATTGCATGAAAATGACTTTTAATATGGAAAAAATCTTGTTAAAATTATTTCTTACTAATGAAATAATTACTTGAATTAATGAGGATTTTTTTTCAAACGTCAATCACATGACTACGGTTAGTGCAAAAGATAGTATGTAAAAAAGTTACATTTTTAAAGTAATCTGCTACTAATTAGAGAAGTAGTAGAGGAAAATAAAATATAAAATTATATATCTTAAATTAAATCTAATATATCTTAAATAAATAATCAGTTCTTAATACTCTTCTGTGAAGCACTCAATTTTTACATACGAGTTTTTGCACTGACAGTTGCGATATATTGATTAAACATAGTTATTCTTTTAAATAGTAAGATTAAGCTCTTAAAATTAGCGCATTCTAATAAACACATTCTGGAGATTTGTATGTTAGAATAGATTTATTGGCTTACCATTTTTTATGTTTCCCACCAGCCTCTTCTTAATTTTTTATGAGTTCATCATTTTTTTAGTCAATGTGCAGTTATTTATTTTTGTCGCCCTGACCCTGTGGGAAAACCCCCGCTTGGCGAGATAAGAACTCGTCGCCGATCACACCCTCAGTTCGGAGAACTCTTATCACCAGACAACACCCCCAGCCAGGAAGATAAATTCATTTGACAAATATATATTTAACGGGCCTTTTTATCTGAACCTGATAACATTTTAGGGTAGCATACCGTTAAATATTATTCGAAGGAAGTCGGAAAAAAATGCAAGAAAAAAACTTCAATATTTACTCGGTTTCTTATTTTTCTTTATTTTATAAACTTAAATACGGTATACTTCCTCTATGACTCTAAAAAGTATAACTGTTAATGAACTAGTATTATTGATTTTTACTTAAGATTAATCTATATTTTTTGAAGAATGGATTTTTACTTTCACTTCTCTAAATATGTATAGGGGAAAATATTGCGTTCGTGAAAATTTTCAGAACTGATTTTTCAATGAAAACATACGTTTTGAGGTACCCTGAGTCCAAATAACCTAGTCCCGCAAAATGGTCTGTGTGTATGTAAACGAAAAGTACGAAACTGATATTATGTATTTAAGGTAGGTATATGACTGAAATGTTACAGTAACTTTTTCCTTAAAATCGCCACTTTATATCAACGGTGAAACACATTTTTACAATTTTCTCAAAAACAGCTCCAACGATTTTTATTAAACTCGGTATATCTTTTATTAAGTGGTCTTTAATATCGTTTAGGTCTTATCACCGTTGATGTCACTTTACAGGGCTTAAATGCCCAATATCAACACTTCCTCCTCTGAACTACCTTTAATTTGGTTTATTTTGAACAATTAACGATCTCTCATTGTTAAAAGTCACGAAAAAAATGCTAAATAGAACTTTTGAAAGAATTTGATAATTTATTAATGGAGAAAAATAGAAAAATGCTTATCCAGGTCGAAAATGAATCTCCGGAAATAATAGTCAGTATACATATAATATATCGTTGGAAAATAGAAAATTTTAGAAAAAAATAATATTGAATAAATAGAGTTGCAGAACGTTACCTTCGTAGAGTGACGAAAAAATATATAAAAAATAATTTCAGAAAACTAACATTATTTAAGGTAAATCACATGTTTTCAAGGAAATTAAATGAAATTTTCTTACTAAATGTGAACTTTAAAATTTTCTTTTTAAGTTTGAAAAAAGTATCTAAAATTTACCAAATCAATGCAATGACATAAAATACTAATTCATTGTACTTGTGTAAAAAAAAAGTGAAATATAAAAATATTTCATGGATATCTTTATAAACTTAAATACATTTAATGTAGTTTAATAACTCGTATTAGGCCTTAGTTGTTGAGAAGAGATTTATTTATCCAATCTTATCACCCCCTTCATTTCATGATATATTGATTGACCACATCTTAATCCAAGATTACCCTATCATCATACAGAGCATATTCTTTTCAAAATTTTCAATACTTCTTTGTACGTTGTGCCGACCCCTTTTCTTCAAATTATTAAACAAAGAGGATAAAATGATGAAAATTTCTTTCGCTTACAGTATGCAGGTCCGATGTTTAGTTTGTGAGCTATTTTAATCCATATGCAAAAACACTTCAATTAAACAACTCTACCCGAGCGTTACATATCAGAGATCTGGTGGCTCAATCCAATTCACTCTCCACAAAAAAAAAGTGCAAAATGCGCCTTAAGAAGTTTTCGCCTCAAAAAGTTGTAGGTAACAATGATATGAAGTTATTCACGAAGTTTTAAGAGGGTATTAATAATTTGATAAGAAGGGGTTACTGATCACTGATCAAATATCATCCCATCCCATCCCACATGTATTATTACAGTAAGGCTCGAAATCGGTTTTGTACCAAACTCCTGTCATACTCAAATACTATGAATGGGGTACCGTTGGATTCAGAATTTCACGGGGGGTTAGCGAATCCTATTCTCCACTTTTGTTTCTCTTTCTAAAATAAAGTCGATACAAACATTTTGCTAGGCTTCAATATTGGATCGGTGATAGGTCTGCAGATCGATACTGGACAAATTGAACTTTGAAAATTTTGATGCGTACAGCAAGACCCGGATAGTTCCGCCGGAACTATCGGATCCTGCGTTTTTAAGCCCAAAAACGTACTATTTTCGGGATAACGCAAGGCATAGGGTTCGCATCCACACAACCTTACATTAATTGTAGTACTGTCATTGAATACATATCTCATTTCGTCGACTTGAAGCCTTCTATGATCGAGAGAGGAGGAGTTCATATTATTTTTCGATGGTGTTTTTGATCGGCGACTCATGTCATTTGCGAATAACTAAAAAATTACACACTTTTCCCTTGGTTAATATCATGGATTATATAAAAGGTTACTAAATTCCCTACGCTTATTGAAATTTTTAGAACATGTTGGTTTAAAAAAAAATGAAGATTTAAATTAATTTTTGTCTCCTTTGTCGATTATATTTATCGATAAAATGAAAATTTCTTTTTCTTTTGATACGTTGTATTATTTTATTTTATTATTAATATGGCATATGTTAACATGTTAATATGGCTGTGCGAATTTTCGCACGGGCCTACTAGTTAATCTTAACAGTTAAATTTATAGATCATGTAGGTTGTGCTTATGTATAATTAAACATAATATAATTAAGAAGAACGACAGATAAGATACGATCAGCATCTGATAGAGATGCGTTCGCTGGCACGCGGGCAGCTGATATGAATGAGAGTGCGTTGGTAGAATGCATTATGCTAAGCGGCGCCTCTGCAGCGCGCCCTCGAGGGATGCACTTCCCTCAACTCGCCTCTGTTATGCAACTGCACGCCGGCACATCAGCTGTCCGATCACGGCACTCTTATCGAATCTTTGCAGTCAGTTAAGATGGTCAAATAATTAGCTTCGGCAGTCATTAGGTAATATGTAAAATGTGGAAAATCATGTTATTAATAAGGATTTCTTTATTTCTTATCTAAAGCTTTGTTTAAAAAAAAAAAAGTTAATACCAGAAATAGGCAAGACAAGAATTAAAAAAAAAGATTATGGTGAGAAATCGACTGTAGACACTAGCGGATCCGGGATTTAGTTTTCGGCGGCTTGAGCGCGAAAGTTTTTATTTTTTATAAATATACAACTGTAATTTCTTGAAAAAAAAAACATATTGAAACTATCTATCTATATGAAATTGTGTTTAAGTGCTTCATAAAGTTCTTTTTGAAAATCTAATCACAAGAACAACAATATATATATTTAATTTCCGATATGCCGTTTTCGGATCTATACGTTTCAGAGCCCCCTGAGTCCGAAAAACACGTTTTTAGCCATTGGTCTGTCTGTGCCAACATTTTCTCTGAAACTAATGAACCGATTTTGTTTTTTATTTTTTTAATTTGTAGGGGTTTGACTACTGGTGCATGTGCAAGAAATTCGTTGCTCCACGTGCAATAGCTTTCGCGCAATAAATGAAAAACATGTTTTTCTGTAGACCTTAGCTCGAAAACAGTTCTAACGATTTTGATGAAACTTTCCTATAATGTTCTAATAACTGTCTTTTCAATTTTCGTATAAGGACTAAATTCCCGAGAATATTCAGGAAAAAGAGTTATAAAGAAAAGGAAAAATGTTTTGGGACCTAACATTATATTTAGGGGTTCATATCCTGGTGTCAGAAAGGAGTGAATGAGAGAAAAAAGATGACCAATTGAAAGTAAGAAAATCTGTTGCCCGCATCACACAAACTTTACTGTTTCCTCTGCTTTTAACTGAAATTATTGTTCGACAAAATTAAGCTATGGCAAAAAGTTTTTGATTAGCAATACTATAGAGTATTCAAATTTGTACACTATACCTTAAGCCGGTTTACATTGCTTTAGTTTATCAAATAAATCGTACTAAAATCTTTTCTTTGATCAATTTTCAGAAAAATAAAATCTAGTTCAATTTTTTTTGTTTCTTCATGAACATATGTAAAGATATAAAAACTATTCTGAAATAGGTAGAAATGTCGTGTGAGTGGACACACCAGATGTTTTAATATACAACAATAATTTGTTGGAAAAAAAAAAGAAACTAACTACCTTAATGAAAGTGCTTCTTAAAGTTCTTCTTGAAAATTTAATCACACGAACAATACTTCTAGAGATATTTTTACTTTCACTTACCTATATATGAAATATATAGTAAGTGTAAGTATTGCGATCATGAAAATTTTCGAATCTTAGTTTTCAAGGGAAATACACGTTTTGAGGTCCCCTGAGTCCAGATAACCAAGTCTTTCAAAATAGTTTGTGTGTGTACATGTAACAGTCTCGCTCAAAAACGAAAAGTCGTACGAAAGTGAAATTGCATATTTAACGTTTTTATATGCTAGGGATGTTACAGCAACGTTTTGTCAAAATCGGCTTACCGGAAGTGGCACTTTATATCATGGCTTAAACACATTTTTCCAATTTACTAAAAAATGGCTCTAACGATTTTGATTAAATTCATTATACCAGTGTAAAATTAGGCAGTTTTAAATAAAATGTAGTTTTTATTCTGATTGATGTTCTCTTATAGGGCTTAAATGGCTAATTTTCAATATAAGCTTCCTCTATAGTACCTTTAATTTTCTTTATTTGAAACAATTGACCATTTCACATTAATTTCTAATATAAAATATAGTTAAATATACAATATGAAAGAATTTGAAGTAACTAAAGGATTAAAACTTAGTCGAGATCTGGATGTGGCCCGCGGGCTAAAAAGTTTGGAGACCCCTAGTATAAGGGAAGAATAAGGTGAAACGTGCAAATGATATAAGTGTTTTCTGAACTTAACATTATTAAAAACATTGCAATATTGTAATAAAATGTATTTTTGTTATGAATGAACGACAAAAACAATATAAGAGTTCATCAAAAGTAAAAATAAATAAACCAAATAATTTGATTATTTTTTAATAGTTGCTAATTCAATTAAAAATTATTAACCCTGAATATAAATTACATAAGATAGAAATTAGCTTCTATCATATTTCCATACCTTAATTGAGCAAATTATGTTCATGCTCCGCTTGAACTTTTAACCCTGGCATTTCCCAGTGATATATTGATTTTCCCGGGGTAGTAGTTTGCAGAATTTTAATCAAAGCTGGTAACTAGAATTAATGCGCCCATTTGCTGTTTTCCAAGAAGAGTAATTCTACCCGACGCCAGGGCTAATGCGCTTTCCATCAGCTGTTTGTGCCAGGGAAATATAATTGAGAGCTTGTAAATATTCCGTGCTTTTCCTTCTCTCATCTCACGACTATGGAGATTTTATCCAACATCCTATTAAATCTATTTTCCTTATATGATTATTTTATCTTGTAATAATTGATTTCTTATTGCCACTTATTCATTAGGTTTATAAGCAGTCAGCCGTCAGGCATGATGTGCAGGCTCTCTGGTAAGTGGTTTAAGTTGCGGTTTCAAGTGTCAGAAAGAGTTCATTGCGAAATTTTCTGTTTTATGACCACACACTCCAACTTTAGAAAGACAAAAGTAAAAAAAGATTTCCTCCGGAACTATCGGATCCTTCGTTTTTTAGTAAAAAAAAACGTACTATATACGAGATAACGCAAGGCATATGGTTCGCATCCACACAATTACTTGCATTACTTTAAATTACTTTAATTGTAGTACTGTCATTGAGTACATGACTCAATTCGTCGACTTGAGGTCCCTATGATCGAGAGAGGAGGAGTTTATATTGTTTATCGATAGTGTTTTTGATCGGCAAGCCATATCATCGTTAATGCTTCACCAAATCTCAAGATTTAGCCACCAATTAACCAAGGCTTCCTTCTCCTTCAGGAGGACAAAATATTCCAATCACCTCGATAATTCAGGCAAAAAAAAAATATGAAAAAAAGGCAGAAAACAAACTTTATTTGCGAATAACTAAAAAATTACACACTTTTCCCTTGTTTATGCCCATGATTATATAAAAGATTGCTAAACTCCCTACAAAAGGGGAGAAAAAAAATCATCAAAATCGGACAATTTTTAGCAATGATACAGCTTATTGAAATTTGTAAACATGTTTGTTCCAAACAAAAATGAAGATTTAAATTAATTTTTGTTTATTTTATCGATTATATTTATCGATAAAGTAACATTTGATTTCTTTATCTTTTGATACGTTGCATTATTTTATTTTCTTATTAATTTGGCATTTGATTACAATATTCTCTGCGAATTTCTCGCACGGGCCTACTAGTTTGCATTAATAGTGTAGTAGAAACTGGCTTTTTATTTATGTTTGATTGGAAATCTTGGAAACTGGTATTCTTATCGTGTCTTAAGTTTAGGAATATATTAAAAACATAGAAATTTGAATTATGATACGACCTTTGAAGTTGTTTTTTTTTTTCCGAACTTCGACCACTGTGCGCCGTCTGTTCGATATATTATTAACATAAACATATATAATAATGTAAAGGTAATGTTGCACAGAGTAAACGCACAGACTGCCAGGTGTTGGCTCCGATGGTACTGACCGTCTAATTAGACATTGTCCCTTAACTGGCAGGTGACAGTCCTCCTGTTGCTAATTCCATGTATTTTCCCATTGCTAACTGGATTTAAGGGCCGGTATACAGTTTACAAACTAGTTTAGGGAAAGGGTTATATTATTGGGAGGGTAGGGTGTGGAGGCCTTTGTCCCAAACCGTATTCATAGCTTACGTCCCCTCTAGTAGTTTTTTTTTTCACCTGCTTTGCGCTGGCCAAAGAGTATCGTCATGGTCTAGTTTCTTGATGTCTTCATTATTATATGGTTTAAAAATATAGAATTAGTTTGTCTCGCCTATTACATTTCTGTTTTATTTCATCAAGCACAAATTTCACTCTGAATTTTAATTTTACTGAATTCTATTTTTACAAATTTTATTTTTTATATTTATATTTTCATTCATAAATGTCATTTATGTCTATCACCAAATGTGTTGTCGAATTAGATATTGGTATTTACACCACTTACTTATTTCCGTCCGTGGTACAGACTTTTTTATATAAATTTTTATCAAATTCTTGACATCCGTCTAAAACTTCCTGAATATCAAGGGCGGATCTACGGGGAGGGGGGCTTTCGGGCTGAAGCCCCCTCCCCCCAAAATGGTAAAATATAACCATGTTTTATCGCAAAAAATATTAAAAAATTATCTCTTAAAGTATAATTATTCGTGTAATTACATTTAAAAGGGCTTTAGGAGTCACTTAAACACCAGTTCATATAGGTAGTTAGTTTCTTTCTTATTTACCAACGTAATTATTGTTATTTTTATGAAAAATAAGCTTTCGGGCTGAAGCCCCCCCCCAAAATTAAATCCTGGATCCGCTAGTGCTGAATAGCTTCATCTTATCGTAAACTTTTTTATTTTTACGAAAATACTGATAAATGTGGCACTTTCAATCTGCAGATCGTTAAACTTTGTCTATTTAATGAGGCACTATAAACTCTAAAACATCCAATTGCTTTCCACTTGAATCGTACATCATAAAAGTATAATCATAAAATCGAGAAAAAAAGTGGCATACACACATTTTCTGCCTTTTGGCTAGATCTCTACGTGATATCTAACCCCCATGTCAAAATAACGAGGTTATGAAGGCCGAACGGCACAATATTTTTTTTTTTGGCAACCTAAAATTAGATTTTTTAAAAACTATTTAATTAAAAAAGTTGTGTACTATAGACCATACCATAGAAGTTGAAACATCAACAAGGCGAGATTAATAATATGAAATATAAATTATAAATGCTAGCTCTTTATAAAGAAGATAAAAAGCTGAATATTTCCCCTCGCTTACAGTATTCAGGTCCGATTTTTAGTTCTAGAGATATTTTAATC